AATACCCTTAATTTAAGACATTTTTACTCATTTTGAGATCATTTTTCCAGTGTATACCAAACTGAAAAATTCACAAAAACACCTTAGATTTTAAAATGGAAAAATTTTACTTTTTTTAAATTCAACGTATAACATGGATGCATAAACACCTAATTTAAATTCAGTGTTAAATGCCATTTAAAGTAACTGATTATAATTAAAGATGTCTCTGGACCTTTACTGGTTGTTGATTTTTTTTATACGGACCACGCTGATTTTTTTATTGGTTACCCCTGTTCTATGACTTTACTTCCAGATAGAGGAATCCAACCTGCACCATTCCTCTATAGGGATGAGTCCAAAATATGGTTAATGGTTGTAAAGTATGAGCTTATACATTGGGTCATTGGTTCGCTCATTTTAAGAAATGTTATCATGAGCTGTGCTTTTAAACCCTGCTGTTTTGTCGTACAGTTGGAGGTGTAGCTGAGAACAATGATGGAAAATATAATTCAGTGTTTGCACACCTTAAGGAAAGGAACTGGGCTTAGAGTGTGTAAGATAGAAGGAGGAGACACGTCTGGTGATAAGAATACAAAGGAAACAGGGACATATGGCAGAATATAGCAGTTATCTGATCCAGAACTTGATTAGTCATGTGTTGTTATTTGCAGAAGTCAGGAAGGACTGGTTCATTTTTCATAATTTTCGTCTCTTCTGAGAGAGATTTGAGTTCATCAGCTGGGTCAGGTTTTACTAAGTTATCAGACACTATGTTAAATTATTTGACTCATTAGAACAATACTCCCAGATGACAGTGTCAGGATCGTGGCACTGATAACTGGCTTAATTGCTCATTTCATTCACCTGTCTAATTCTGCCTGGTTTCTCATTACTGCCCAACTGATCCACCTGCTCCTGCCTCTATTTAAGCTGCTTTGACACAGCCATCAGTGCCTGATTATTATTGAGCCTTTGGTGTGAGAGTTTTCTAGTGTAACTGATTTTGTTGTGATTGCCTGATCCTGACCCATTTTGCTTTTGGACCTTTGAGCCCACCTGTCTCTGTTCTGATCTGTTTGTCTGACCTGTCTTCTGACATCTGCTGGATTCTTCTTGTGGGCTAAATCTGGGTCTGCCTTCTGACTTCAACCTGGATTATCCTGCCTTCCTTCGTCTGCTCAGGTCTGATCTCCTGTCAGTTCTGCAGCCTTCTAGGCTTCAGTTTCTGGAAGTCTCTGGCAGCGTCTGCAGTGTCTTGTCGACCAACAGGCTGGAATCATCCTTGTTCTCTGGGCATGGACTGCACTGCCAAACCAGGTTAGTGACTCACAGGTTCGTAATCATCCTCCGTCAGATTATCGTGGTCACTAACCTGTGTTTCTCTCCTGTAGAGGTTCTTGCCTTAGATGCCCTAGTCGCTGATACACCAAATCTGCAGCCCGTCGTTTCAACACTTTTAAGTTATCCCACTGTCTGTCTTGCCCGAATACTGGGTCCCTCTGTTCTGAGTCACAGACAGGAGAAGTTTGAAAATGTGTATTAACAGTTATGAGTGATGACGAAGCAGGACCAGCTTCAAAATTATGATTCAGAAGACACAGTTTCCAAAGTAATGAAGGACACTGGTGAGTAAGGAAATGAGTAATGGAAATGTGAACAGAGAAGGCTTTCTGATGAACATGATGATTTTTCTAGAGAGAATTCAACCAGAGCTCTGGTGATTGTTCAGTGGTTCCAAATAACCCTGGTAAATGAAGGTAAGCAAGCAGGTGGAATGTAGTGATAGCCCTAGAAATGACCTCATTGTCTAGTCCAAATGTGGGTTTTTGTTGGAGAGTTATCAGTTCTGGTTTTGAGTTAAGTTTTGATATCGTGGATAGTAAAGTTTGTATAGAGTTTTGATAGTTTTAAGAAGGTAGATAGGGAAGGAAAGAAAAGTTTGGAGATTGAGGAAAGTGAGGAGAGGATAGAGAATGGGACCAGGTAGGAAGAGAAGCAGAAATAGATTATCAAAAACTAATGAAAAACTTGTATTTCTAAATAAAAATGAATAAAATATCATATTTACAACCTCATTGCCCAAGTAGAAAAGAATATCCAGCGCTCTCTTCCAAATCCCACAAACATTTTTGTTGTCTGTCTCCAAAGGCCATGCCATTTTTGTTAAAGTGACAGGGAAAGATACACAGCCTACCATATATAAATGTACTTTTGTCAGAGCATTTATACACAGCTCATGTTCAAAAATATTTTATGATATAGCTAAATGTGAAATCAGAATATAAATTTTTATTGGTGATTAATGATCATCTCCATGTGCCCTAAATTATAGGAATACGTGCATATTATTGACTGTAATTACACATTTGGCCACTAGGTGGATTGATGTAAAACGTAAAACTCTTAATGAATGAAGCACAAAAAGGATTTTTAATGCCAACTGAACTTTTCCTTGAAATCATCATTCCTTTAGGTAATCTTTGACAGACCTTATTTTATGTGGTTTGACTGCAAAATAAGACTTGATAATGATTTTATATCTTGTTTTTATTTTATCTTTGCATAGATTGATTTGTTTTATATATTGTTTATATTATTTTTTTATGTTCTCTTGTCTCTCTTCCGGAAAAGTTCTATCAAACCCAAAAACTGATTAGATAGATGAACTTCAACTATACTCAAGCTGTCAAATAAACCCTGACTTACTGATAAGGGAATGCAGGAAAAGAAAAAAAAAATCACAAACATTTTCTACGGTAGTTGTAAGAACCCTCATATTTGTTCTATCTTTCCTGCTCCTTGGATCCTAAGAGAGATTGTGTTTGAAAAATATCAACCTAGTGTAAAAATGAATTATATATATCATATTATGTGTGTTAAAATTCTCTTGTTTTCCTCCTTCAGATATAAGTTAATCTCCAAACCTTAGGGAATAGTATTTTTTTATGGCTTGATAAATGAATTTAAAGAGTTAGAGTAACTGGATCCCTTACTTCCAACTAATGCCAAGGCCTGCCTTTCAAAATAATAAGACCTTCTTTTCCATAAAGATCCTATGGAAGTGTGTTTGTCTTTATTCAGATGCATTTGAAGAGTCTTAGCACTTATTTCATGCATTTCTCTCATTGCAACTACCGGTACAAAAGCACTTCCTGACCCCAGCTGACAGTGTTTCCAGTTGCAAACTTTAAAACAACCCTGAGGGTCTGAGGAAGAGCATCAAAAAGACTTTTCTAAATATTTGCTAATTTGGTTCATATTTTTTCCCTTTGACAATACTACAGTAAATCAGAAAAAAATACCATCATATGTGGGGTTTCATAAAGTTATATTTTGGAAGCTGTTTTAACAATATACAGAACTTTTTTGTTTAGGATTTATTTATAGCATCACAAAAAACAGATCTTACTAAATGTGTGATAACTTTGATAACAGATAAATGAAAGTATTTTGAATTACGGTATGTACTCAGTTTGCTGTTAATAAATGCAGATAAACAATATTAAACATTAAACAATATTAGTTGAGGTTATGTTGCACTAAGGTGTCACAACTTGAACTGTTTGTAAAAGCAAGCATGGGTGTGAAATGGTGGAAAATTATGTATTTCAGTACAGATAAACACTGTTTTTTTTCTTTCTGTTTTAAAAAGTATAAAGTTAGGGACCAGCATGATGAGTCAGACTCAGTTAGGCCTAAAAAGTACCTCAATAACAAACTGAAAAAATACATGCCACATTTTTTTTTTATATATGTTTTACCTTGTGCTATTCTCCTTCCACTTGTTACAATACTAAAAACTCAATATCAATACCTAGGAAAATATTCCATACTATAAAAAGTAAGATACCATTTTCAATACCACTGGAATAAATAAAAATTAAAATGATTAAAGGCAAATTGGAAAAAGTCACCTTTTTCAATCTCACCATGTCAAATTATTGCACAACACAACCACAGATGCTAGTCAAATACATGTGCAAGTATGAAATTAACAAAAGTAATAATATGCAAACAACACCTGTTTTTGGTACTAATATCATTCCAGTATCGATATTTTTCTAAGTATCGATCATTTTGACAACCCTACCTACTGCAACAAAATACATTGTATTTAGCTTTAATATAAAAGTACTATAATTTAACAGCTCTGCTTTTTTCTGTAATGATAAGGCTAAATATAAATAGTAAAATCTCTTGGTGGTGCATCACCTTGGTTCATTGTCATCTGAAATGCCCCCCTAAAATTAAAGCAGCATTTTTATATTGATTTTAGACCTGCTAATTAACCGG